CACTTTTGTCGTCATAAAGAAGTGGGTTTGTCAGGGTTGGGCTCTGGCTGGGATCCAGACCAGGTCTCTAAGGGAGTGGGGTGCACTGACAGCATTTTCCAGGTGATGCCATATTGGGCATTCTGAGGAGGAGAGGAGGTGCGCTGTCTGAGAGATTTGTTGCTAGATAATATTTGGTTACGTGGGGCACTCCTACACCCCCACTCCCATAGCTAGGCTGATGTTTTCCAGGGAGACCCTAGGTGGATTATTTTTCCATATGTGTGCATTTTTGGAGGTGCTGAAGCGTCCGGAGGCTATAAGTTGGTTTTCTAACAGGTAGGTCCCTAAAGAGAAAGAGGATTTGTGGTAGTATAATCATTTTTATGATGTTGATACGCCCTAACCAGGATGTATTTTTGTTGCCCCAGCTCTCCAGCAGCCTCTCCATTTTTGCTATGAGTTGTCCATGGTTGTGTTTTATTAGGTTTTGCTTAGAGGGTGCTAGTTGCGTTCTTTGATAGGAAAGGGTGTTTTTCCTCCATTCAAAGGGATAGAGTGTCCGTAGGGTCGTGAGTTGGGATCGGGGCATGTTTGTGGAGAGCACTTTCATCTTTGACACATTGTTTTTGTAATAGAAAACACGGCCGAAGTCATTTAATAGGTGCAAGAGAGCCGGAAGGGAGTCAGAGGGTCCTGTAAGGAAAAGGAGAATGTCTTTGGCAAATACTGCTATTTTTTGTGGGCCTAGTGGGGAGGGGACACCAGTGATATTGGGAGTCGCTTTGATCTTGTGGATTAGGGGCTCTAGTGCCAGGATAAAGATGAGGGGGAATTCGTTCGTTAGGGGGAATCGTGTGGAGATTAATCCTGAGCTCATGACTGTGGCTTGGGGTGCTGAGTAAAGGGAATGAAGCCCAGTCAGGAAATTGGGTGGAAAATTTAACTTGCGGAGGACCTCCTTCATATAGCCCCAGTGGAGCCTGTCGATCGCCTTCTCCGCATCTAAGGCCATCATTAGTCCCTGTGCTCATGAGTTCCATTATGTCAAGAGCTCATCTGGTGTTGTCCTCTACCTGGCGCCCGGGTACAAAACCCGACTGCTCAGGCGATACAAGTTGACAGAGTAGGTGGAAGATCCTGTTCACAAGGACCTTGGCGAACAGTTTTGTGTCAGCATTAAGAAGTGACATCCGGTGGTAGTTTGCACAGGAGTCTGTAGTTTTACCCGGTTTGGTAAGCGTTATAATGGTGGCCTCTAACATTTCCGGGGGCATGTTACCTGCCTCTAGGATGTGATTGAATAGGGCCGTGAGGTGGGGAAGTAATTGGTCCTCAAAGACCCTGTAGTAGTGCGTGGACAAGCCGTCCGGTCCTGGGGCCTTGTGTTTCGGGGGGTCATGTAGTGCTTTGGATATTTTGGCAGCTAAAATTGGGCGGGTCAATGTAGTGGCCTGTTCGCTGGAGAGTTGGGGAAGGTTCACTTCCTCTAGGAAGGTAACAATATCTTGGGGATGGGTTGGTACAGGGTGGAGTCTGCAGATAGATTATACAGCTTAGCATAGAACAAAGCAAATTAGTCTACTAAGGTTCATAAGCTTAGCACCTGTACTATCCCTGTCATATGGGATTTTCATCTTGGAGGTTCGTTCCCTGAGTTGAGAAGCTAGAAGCTTGCCTGCCCTATTCCCCTGTCTGTAGTAATTTGTTTTCATCTTTCAAATTGCCCGTTCTACTTGTTGCATTTGTAGGGCTTCTATGGTGGTCCTAAGGTTTTGTACCTCTTGCCTATGGGATTCATTAGGTGATGATTTATGTTGTATTTCAGCCAGCTTTAAGTCCTTGAGCAAGGACACGCTTGTTACAAACTGCTATTTGTAACTGGCCCTTTAAATGGCAAATTGCCCTGCTTCCCTGGGTTGTGGAAAAGCCTATTTGCCAGCCTCCTTCCACAGGACTATGGCCCCTGGGAGATGGTGAGAACCTATGCACTTTTGAGTGTGTATGGCCCTTTAAGATAGCCAGTGGGCATATTGGGGCTTATGGACTCTTTAAGGGACTGGTGCTGGCCGTTTAACTACCTTTTTGGGACATCAGGAAGATTGGGACACTGCCCCTTTAAGACCGTGTCCCCAGACTTGTTTGGGACACTGCCCCTTTAAGACGGTGTCCCTTGTGTTCCCAGACCTGGTTAAAACCCTTTTGTGCCTGGCTATTTCCCACTTGGTTCAGTAAATGGGACTTACTGAACCAAGTACCACACAGGCAAACCACCCAGAAGTGGAAGTGTGCCGGCAATTTACCTCCCAGAAGCTTCGGTTAACCGCAGCTTAATTGACAATGCTGGGTGGCCTTTGTTCATTTGCCAAACACGTGGTGGCGGCCATCTTTGATCATTCGAACGAGGTCAGCAGTATGTGTAGCCAAATTCATGGAACTAAAATCGGCTACACATTTCCGCGAACACCGCTGAGCTCTACCTTCTCCCCTACTGGTTTTACAGCTGCAGAGACTAAGTCCCATTCGGCGATGGGACTTAGTCATTTTTTCAGCCTGAAATAGACCGACCGCACAGCCCAAATCTATGGAACTGTTTTGGGCAGGAAAATGTGCTTGCGGTCGGTCATAAAGGGACCTCCACGTAACTTTTTAACCCCTGGATGGATTTGGCTGATTCTTGGTTATGTTTATGTGTGCTGATTCCAAATATGTAATTTTTATGAAGATTGGATGTGTAGTTTTAAAGTTATAGTACATGTATAAAAACTGTATTTTTCCTGCTTGTGATAATTATGTTAAGCATTGTGTAACATAATTAGATCACAGGCAGAGGGGAGGATTTTTTCTGTGTAATTGCTGGGAGTGTTTTCTGTAATGTACGTTTATGATTGGTTGTTCTGTAAACCCCTGTGGGCGGTCCTGTGTTAAACCTGCATAAAAGAAGGCCCTTTGGTGCCAAGTAAACAGATCTTCTTGACCCTCAATACGTAGCCTTGTCTCGTTATTGGAGGGAACTGCTATATCACACTGGGGATTGCTATGCTCTGCATACTCCCCTGAGCTTTTAATCACTTAGCTCTTTTAAGAGCTGTTCCTGTTGCGCTCTCCTGGAGGAGAGGTCTTCCCCACACGGTCCTGGAGGACAGAAGCTGATCCAGGGTGGAAGGAAGATGGCGAGACTCCAGTTAAGCTACGGCAGTTGTGGAGTCTGCAGTGGTTGTGGTGTCTGCAGCGGTGTTTGGAGTCCTCAGGAAGCGGTAGGAGCATCCATCAACGGAGGATACTCGGTCGGAGTACAGCGTTACAGCGCTTTTCTCTGAGAGTTGGGCAAGCCACATCGTGGCAATGGTTGTGTCAGCGTACTGGTTGACCACAAAGTAGTGTACTAGGCATCTTCTTATCTCGGCCGCTCTCTCTGTGTTGTCCCGTTGAGTCTCCACTGTCCTCGTCCTCGGACCGGGTGGATTGTGGTGAACGATGATGTAAGGGGAGCCTGGTCAGACCAGGTTATCGGGGCAATGGAAATCTTGTCTAAAGTATCTAGGGTTTTTCTGTCTACCAGGCACATGTCTATCCAGGAGTATTGATCATGAACCTTAGAGTAAAAAGTGTAGTCTTTAGAGGCTGGGTACAGTGCCCGCCAAGTATCATGCAAGCCGTGGAAGTGTATGAGTGCTAACAGTTTTTCCCCCAGATGTGTAGCTCTTAGGTGGGAGCCATGGTTGCCAGTCCTATCTAGAGCAGGATCCAGCACACAATTAAAGTCCCCCCAAATGGGCGTCTGCCCCTTTTTTACCTGGTCGATCCGTCTTAAAGCTTTCCGAAGGAAGTCATATTGGTTGGTGTTGGGGGCATATAAGTTGGCTATAGTATCGTTGAGGAGTCCTACCAGTATTAAGAGCCTACCATCTGGGCTTTTATGTTCCATCTCACATTAGAAGTGCCAGTCAGAATGAAATAGGATACTGACACCTCGTGTCTTATTTGGCATGATATGCCAGTGGGTAGGAGGTGGACGAGAACTTTGGGGGATTTTTGACCGAAAAGTGGGTTTCTTGTATACAGGCTATGGAGGCATGCAGGGTACGTAGTTGGGACATCTTCAACCTGTGTTTTTGCGGGATGTTTAGGCCGTGAGCGTTGCGGGACACTATGTGAAATTTATGGGAGAGGGTCATTGCAGTGAGGTTGGGTTGGCCCCGGGGCCTGTCTGGGTGAATATAGTGTTTCCCAGTACCTCTCCACAGTATGAGTGCAGGGTCTTGTCACTGTGTTTCCTGCTTTTTGCAAAGTGGTGGAAGGGGAGGATCTCAGGAGCATCACTGGAACATGGGGAACGGTCAGATTTACAACAATATAAACCAAAATAAGGAACATAAATAAAGTAAATACACAATGGATAGCCCGCAAGCATTGTGTGGAGGACCCCACCGCCGAGCACGCACCCTCTACTGCACTGAGAGGGGGCCACAGCGGCGGGTGGTGTCCCGAGTTAGTTCTGGGGGGGTTTCTGATGTCTGGTGGGGCCTATACACCTTTCAGGACCCAACCGCTCATGGGAGGGGTTTGCTGGGGGGGGAGGAGGGTTAGGGGGGGAACAGGTGGACCGGAGTTGTCCTTGCAAGAGTCCAGTTGTAGGCCGAGCATGGGTCTCTTCCACTGGAGTTAGAAGGGAAGGCAAATTCAGCATCTGCGCCCTGCCAATCTTCATCATTATTTATAGTCCATGTAAGACACTTAAACGGGCAAGTTCTGTTGCTTAGAATTGGGGAGTTGAGTCTTAGGTTAGGAATAACTGGGTTGCAGAGTGGGAAGAGGGGGTAATGTCCCATGAGCTTAGCAGGGGAGGGGGTCAGGTGGGGGACAGAGTTGCATACTCACGTGGGTGCCAGTCGCCCCTTGTGCCATGTAGTTCCATGAGTGGAAGAGTCACAATTTAAGAGACTTGTGAGCTTTGGAAGCTGGCAGGAGCAGTCCAGGGCGGTTAACTATTTTGTTGGTAGCAGCTGTTAGGCCTTGGATCAGTCTGCAGTCACCTTCCATGTGGCGGCCTGTGAGGCGGCCGTCCTCGTGTCGGGAAATAGTCCCCAGGTCTTCAGTTTCTCCATTCCCTGGGCCGGATCCTCAATTTTTGTAAGAGAGCCGTTGCACCAGATTAGGAGTTTTGTGGGGAATCCCCATCTGTAGGGTAGTTTGTTGTTTCTGAGGCATTTTGTCACATTGATAAAGTCCCCTCTCCTGGACATCGTTGTTGGTGAGATGTCAGCATAGAGGGCTATTCCCACGTAGGTAGGCGGTATCTCTGAAGCCTTCCTTTGCGCTGTGAGTATGGCTTCTTTGGCGCTGTAGTAATTGAGTCTGGTCACTATGTCCCTTGGGACATCTTGCGCAAGGTTTTGGGGCTTTGGCACCCAGTGTGCCCGGTCTAAGCGGAGATCCGCCGGTTCCAGGCTAGCCTGTATTGCTTGAAAGAGCCATAGCAGGTAAGATGGCAGATCTTCCTGCACTATAGTCTCCAGCACTCCGCGCACGCGGATGTTGTTGCGGTGGGAACTGTCTTCCAGGTCTGCCATTTTTTCCAAAAGACGCTTGTTGTCTGCTTCCATTTTTTGGAGCTTCTCCACTATAGTGTCATTTGCACAGTTAGTCGTTTTTTTTCCTCCAGAGCATTCACACGTGTCCCCACTTCAAGTAGGTCTTTGCGTATATCGGAGACCGCTGAGTGAAAGTAGCTTCTCATAGAGATGCGCAGCTCTTGTAACATGGCCGCCAGTCACTGTTCTGACACCGAGAGATCATCCGTGTGCATTTGCCTCGAATCAGTGTCAGATCCCGCGTCAGAGGTGCGTGTAGGCGAGTGGGAGCCACCACCACCATCTTGTTCCAAGCGCTGTCTGTCCATCCTCCCCTGCTGGAAGAAATCTGATGCTCTTTGGGATTTTGGAGGTGCCATTATTGAGGTGGGGGATCCCCTATTGTTGGGTAGCTTTTTTAGGATGGTGTGCGTCCTTATGTTGCTGTTTTGCCACTTTTTAGACCAACCCGATCGCGGAGCTATTACAACATGCTACCGCTCCGTCTGACCGCATTTTTTTTTTAAATTTCTATCCATCCAGCCTCGCTATCTTTTGGAGTGCTTGAGTGGATTCTCAATTTCTCTGCAGTCTAGGGGGGATCCTTTAACTGTTGGGCAGCTGAGTGGTCAATGCAAGGTATCTACCTGGGCTTTTGGGGGCAGCTTTTTTTGCCGCCCTTTTCCCCAGAAGTGCAACCCAAGGCAAATGTTGTATTAGCCTCTTGCTAAATACAGAGCTGGTTCTAATTGAAATACATGAATTTAATAATTAAGAGAAGTGTCCCAATACTTTTGTCCATATAGTGTAGATACTCAGACTCATTAGACAACATGGATGTAAACATTTGATGAGGGTGGTCATTCATTCAACCCCTGCTGCTGGCTAGACATAAATGCTCCTGACTTCTCTGGGGGGAGCATTTGCCCTGGTGCCCAACCCTCCATGCCCCCTCAACCCCCTCCCCCCCACCACCACAGATCCACAATTGCTCTACAGTACAGATCTTTAGTGCATCTTACTGTATTTAGGCTTTATGTTTACATGCACATACCATTTTCTAATTTTATGGAATTTAAGCTGTATAGCCAGAAGGTTAATGCTGTTAGGTTACTGGCAAATGCCTATAAATTGGGTACTTAATCATATTCATATATATATATTTCTGTCACACCTACTCTAAGCAATAAAAAGGGTATTTATGTGTATGTGCTAATACCCGAAGGATTGACAAGTAATTGAAAAGTAAAAATTGTGTTAATTTACACTATTATTTTTTTTTTTAATTATCCATGAACTCTGTATTATTTTGTTCTACATTGGTGTGCTAGTTATGTTGAATTAGCTACTTCTGTAGGTACGCACTTTTCTTAACAAAAATAACTTGGTAATGAAGGACTTAAAAAGGAGTTCACAGTAACATTTAAAAACTCTTTGTCCCCATGAAAATGTTTAATATTAGACAGTGACAAGGTAGTGCCTCTATCTCAACCACTCATGTTACTGGAATAGATATATAATAATGACTCTTAGGATACTCAAATCACTGAACCCAGAGTGATCAACAAGTAATCTCTTCTGAAATATGATATGGAAAGCATGTCCCAAGTACCCTCCCCCAAACATGACTGGATCAGCTGACCCTCTTAGCTCCATGTGCAGAATTGAAACTGCAAATCCACAAATAAAAAAATGTTGAATAGGACTCGAGTGCACGGAAGGATTCCACAGCAACATACTAGCTAATACGCTAAGTAACTATATGAAGTATAAAAATACCTCCCGATGAGTACATGAACTAGATCTATAAAAAACATAATTAAAAGGAAAACATCCAGTGGAAAACCAAATTGCAGTCTCCAGCAAAAGGTAACAATTTATTCACAAACAAAAATAAAATACGCATATCATAGGCTAATACTAATTTAAAATGATATAAAAACAAAGTACAAATGCACACTAACTAATATGTAGACACTGTTTACAAAAGTATAAAGTATGTTTTATTGCCCCTTTTGCCCCTGACAAATACAGCCTCCTTCCCTTAACTAATTAGTGTTTTTATTTTCAATAAATTAAAGATTAATAAATATCCTTCCCAGAAAGTGTAATCTAATCTACACATTGTACCAAAATGGTGTGGGTGCATGGAGTGTCATTAATAGCCTTTATGTGTTACATGTAATAATTATCTGTTGGAAGAGCATAGTCAAATTTATTTTTCCTGATCTATTCAACAGCCAAACTGCTATGAACAATACTCTGCATGAAACACTGAAGCAACACTAACACGTTGGATTTAAGCAGACAAGAACTGGCACACTCAATATATCTAAATGCTCCCAGGTGTTTTTCCATTGGAACTTAATTTCCCACACATTTAGTTTAAAAACCAATCTATTCTTGAATCCTTAAGGGAATGCAAGGAAGGGCAAGGTGCTGTATGCCCAAATGGAATTTGCTTAGGAATATTATCTTGTGGCTTTCAACGGAAAGATTAGGCTTTTCATGTGGAAAACAAAGAAATAAACTGGCCTTTCTTTTCTCCAGTAATAGGGTGTGCATATTTAGCAGTCTGTACAATGGGGAGAGAAGAGAAACCAGTATAATTAATACAATTGTTAATCGGAAAACTTACAAAATCTCTTTGTTAAAACAGTCCATTTTTAAAATTGAACAAAAGAAGCCAAAAAGCCAAAAAGCAATGCATAAAAATCTGTCTGTTTGTCTGTCTGTGTCAATCTTTTTCTCTCATTCTATAATAGTTATATTATATATAGTTTATTTTATTTTTTTCAGTTTAAATGTTATAGTTTACATGGTAAAACAAAATTCACGTAAAAAGTAATATTAAAAAAAATCCATTACAGTATTAAAATGTTTTTCTCTTCTTCACGCTGATGTAAGAAGAGCCAATAACACCTCCTGTTTTCAGTCTTTTGTAAGTAAGCAGATATCGGTTGATGTCTGCTGCTTCTTTGTTTTTGTTATAATGATCTTGCATGCAGCAAGCAGTGACATTAATACTCAAATGAGAGTATGGGGGATCTCTCTCATGCTGTGAAAAAAAAACAGAAAAAAAACAACAAAAAAACAGAAGCAGCAGATGTCAACTGTTGTCTGCAAGTTTACAAGTAGAGAATGCAGGAGGGAGTCGAGGAATCTGTTAGCCATTGCAGTGAAAAAAGATAATATTGTAAGCAGATATTTTTATCATTGTAGCTTCAATGTCTTTATATTGAAATAAAAAAAAAAAATAACCTCCATTTTCATTTTAATTACTGTGAGCACTTCTGCAAAGTGCACACCGCAATCCTTTGCCATTTCCTATCATTGAGGTGTACTGTAAGAATAGTGTGCTTAAAGGAGCAAATAACCCCCCTTTTAAAAGAAAGAAAGAAGGTCTTGTGTTAAATGCACAACAGGCATTTTGCATATTTTCCTATAGGGACCTTCGTCCAAACTAGGAAGCTGATGACATGTTTCAGTCACTTGCAACTTTCCCATTGTTTTCAACAGGATCTAGAAAACACTTATATACCCCAGCTGAGTGTTATTTTATGGAATATGTAGCTCAGCACTCAGCAGTCCTTCCATTTATTAGATAACATGAATAAAACTGCTGGCTAAGCTGGTAGCTGCACTATGGCTTGCCAATTTGTGAATGGAGGTATAGGCATGAATGTAGCCCATGGATCAGCACAGCTAAGAGGAATAGGCATTGACAGAGCCAGGAGGTAGGCATAGCAGCCACAGGAAGTAGTGACAGCTAGCATGCTGGGTAGGGCGGAGCCATAAGGGGAGTAGTTATACCAGCCATTATAGGAAGTGGCCATTTTAACTGAACCTAAGCTTACCTGTCAGTTGTGAAAGCTGCCTGCCCTGGATGGAGAAGGCAACAGCATGGAGGCAGCATAGAAGAACAGAGGCAGCATGGAGGTACAGGAGAGGCTGGAGAGAGCTGCTGCATGCTCACTCCCATCAGCAGCATGAAGGCAGCATAGAAGAACAGAGCAGTATTGAGACAGGAGGCAGCATGGAGGTACAGGAGAGGCTGGAGTGAGCTGCTGCTGCATGCTCACTCCCATCAGCCTCAGACAGAACTCCAAGCAAGCCACCATCCTGGTCACAAAGGTTGTGGCTGGATCGTGGCTGGTGGCTGCAGGAGCATGTCTGCTACCCCCCCATGCGGCGATGGAACGGAGGCCGGCAAGGAGGGCGAGGCTGCCCCAGCGGCAGCCTGAGAGTGACATCGTTAATTCGGCAGCCCAAGAGCCTGTCAGGAGGCAGCAAGGGGAAGGCTAAAAATGAGGCGGAAAGCAGGCAGGAGTTGGAGGGCGGCTGGCGCCGTATGTTCGACGCGGCGCCGGTCAGGCAAGGTGGCAGGCCAGGATGAGGCCACACAGGAAGAGCGCCCCCTGCCATAAGGCGGGGGGGTGGGAAGGCACAAAGGACAGCGGAATCCAGCATGACATGATGGCCACCAGGCAGGGAGAGCGGCAAGAGGCGTCCCGGTGAGTCTGCCCCTGGTGGCATACCTGAGGGACGGGGGGAATGATGCAAGGGGCCAGCAGTGTAAAAGCGGTGTCCCCCCCAATGGGCAGGCGGGGGGGGGTCCAGGTTGGCGGAACACAGACGGAGGCGGCCCTGGATGGGGCCAGGGTCAGGTCAGAGGTGAAGGAAGGGGATAGTGAAAGCAGCAGGCGGAGTCTTCACAGGCGCAGCAGAGCAGCTATGGAGGGGAAGGCCAGCAACCAGGATTAATTAAAGGGGCCACAAGTGGATGAGGCGGCCGGGGAAAGACCAGGTACTGCAAGCAGAGGGCAGAAGAGAGGACATGGACGGGTGGAAATGGACGTAAGGCACAGAGGCAAGCGGGAGCCCCCTGGGGGGCGTTCTCAGGAGCAGGAACACAGCAGGTGTGAGTACGGGAGGGAGCAGCGCAACGACAATGACAGGCACAGCAGCAGCGGGAGGTCGGATGAGGGATGGAGGAGCAGGTCGAGGAGTGTTACTCCTACGGGCTTGAGGCG